AAGAGTCCACAGTAAAGAGTTATTGACAAAGTGAACAGTTAAATCCAAACTAAAACCAGGTTTGCAACGCAACACCGAAACTCAAAGGCACAGAACACTACATAAAAAACCAAAACACCGATTATCAAAATAACTAAAAATAATGCAGAAAACGGCAAAAAACTGAAAGGATTTCACAGAAAAATTCGAAATTCAAAAATCCGAATCTGATATTTTTACATGTCAAATCGAAATGTCATGTATCATTATTTGATGGTTGACGAAAAAAGGGACAGACGTGGGGGTTTTATTTATTTTCAACTGGTGAAAATAACGGTCAAAATTCAAATTCTATCATGAATAGACCTATCTATTTTACCAGACAAAGAGGTAATAATACGAAAACTTCATTAAATAAAAAAAGACACAGAACGCTCATTGCGCAAGACGAGGCGAAACGTACCAAATTATAGTAGACTTACGTATAGCAATCCGTCCTTATTATTTGCACAGGATAAAAAGGAAAGAAGAAAAACCGCGTGTTGTGCAACGTTTTTGTCAATGAAAATGTCAAACAACTTTTGAATGACACCTATCAAGTTGAATATCAAGTTTAGATTTATTCTTGTCAGACCACATGCAATGAACAAGGATAAAGAAATGCCCAGTGTGCAAAACGATCCCCTCACACCTGTATTAGCTAGCCAATAAAAAGACATTGCCTCGTGTTGCGCGCGCATATCAGGTAAAAAATAGATAGGTCTATTACGGCCATTTGCACCGCTACAACTTAAGGGATATTTAATCCAAGTGAAGCTTTGAATGTGACTCTTGTAGAAACAAAAATCACATTCAAAGCTCCACGTAGATTCAATATCCTTTAAGCGGTAGTTAAGTGGTACCCCTGCAAATGGACATTAGTCTACATTAGTAAGTTTGGAAATATCTTATTGAAATTGCAAACTAACCGGGTTATTATCGGTAATATCTGATTACAATTGCAAACTAACAAAAACTAACCGGGTTATTATTGGTAACTTTGATTATGTCTGACAAAAATTTCGAACTTAGCGGGTTAATATAGAGGTAAGTTTGATAGTGTCCTCGGTAATGTCTGATTGAACAGAAAAAGTGTAAGTTTACAGAGAAAGTATAAATTTATAGAAAAAGGGCAAATTTACAGAAAAAGTCTAAATTTTAATGAAAATATTTTCCAATATTAGATGGCAGCTCAACGCCTTATGAAAACGACAAAAAACGTTGACTGCTTTCTCTTGAATTGGCAGAGTGTTGTCGCATTACGCCTTAAGTGATTTTTTTTCGATCAAGTTGCGGCGTATTGTTTGTTATCGTATTTTTTTTTCCCCCTTAACCGGCGGCCCACTTGGCTCTCCGGCCCACCGGGAATCGTCCCGGTGTCCCGCCTGAGCCCATCCGCCCCTGCTTATATGTTATTTTATTCACATTTCTACACAATACAGGGTGTCCCACGGTAGATGGCGTATTAGACGTTTATGGAGAACTAAAAAACAGATCATTTCAGAAATTTGTCAACCGGGATAAACGACCATAACCTACACTTTAAAAATATTTTTGTTTATGTGGTATTGCCGCTTCTACTCTAAACCAGTGGCAACATCGTTATTTTAAATGGAACACCCTGTATGTGATTGCATATTTGGATTCTATGTGATATACCCGAGGATATACCCTATACCTAAAATCAACTGTTTTGGAAATATTGACAGTTGAAAATTGAATTTCTGCAACTTTGACAGGCTGTAAAACCTGAACGGTTAATTTTAGAGGAAAACCGATTTAACATTCCTGTCTTAGAATTCCATAAACTATCATTTGACACCAACTTTGAATTTAACCGGAGATTAAATTTAATTAGAATTTTTATTCATGGATTAAATTCACAGTTGGTGGAAAAAGAAATGTGAAATCGGTTTTCCTTTAAAATTAACCGTTGCAAAAAGTCAATTTTCAACTGTCAATATTTTTAAAACAGTTGAACTTAGGTATAGGGTATATTACATGAAATCTGCTCAGAATTTTACGTAGAATCCAAATATGCAATCACATACAGGGTGTTCCATTTAAAATAACGATGTTGCCACTGGTTTAGAGATAAAGCAGTATCACCGCATAAACAAAAATATTTTTAAGTGTAGGTTACGGTCGTTTATCCCGGTTGCCAAATTTTCAAAATGATCCGCTTTTTAGTTCTCCATAAACGTCTAATACGCTATCCATGTATATAAAATACAAAAACCGTAACAAATGCGAAAAAAAAACAACATAACGCAAAAGTGAATCGGTATACTCACATACCTAAATGGAAATAAATGAAAGTTCAAATCCTATTTGAATTAGGAAAAAATTAACCAAAGTAAATTAGGCGGGAATCATAGGTTGCTTTTTTTTTGGATACGCAAGAGATAGTTTCATATTCATCTTTGGTTAACTGAAAATCTTGATTATCATCTGAATTAGGCGTGAAACATACAGGGCCGTAAAAAAAATCTTTATCGACATCTGCACTGTCTGCCTCTTTCGGCCAAAAGAAGGTACTTTCACTTTTCTTTTGCCTTAAAATTTTAATCTGACAGTTTCGCCTATTATTTTTTCAATACTCCCTACATACATACCAGCTCGTATCGTAGTGTACTGCATAAAATTTGTTTACTTCTAATTGAAGTTCCTACTCGAGTTCATGTTCCTTGGCAATATCATTATACGAGTCATTCTCTGATCCTTTTCTGCTACTAATGCTGCAAAAACTTTCAGTGTCAGTGCAGCACTCACTGCGCACGAGATTTTTTCTGGTGCTGTCAAAAACGTACCATCGTCACCAAAAGTATCTGGGACACAAATAATGCATAATAATCTCCTGGACTAATTCTTCTGTCATTCATTTCAATGCATTTAATTCATAGTTTGACAAATATTTGACAATAAAATTCATATAATAGGACAAGAGCTAATGTGATGCTGTCCCAGTTACTTTTGGTGACGATGGTACACTTGTGCAGTATAAATAGAAATCAAAAATGCAATGTCTCTCAAGGTTATGCAAATACCCAAAATTTTAACAAGTTACTTATAGGTATACTAAAATCATGATAATCATAATGTTTGTTTGAATATGAAAATTGCACTGAGTGCACCTCTGTGCAACAAATGGAAAACGCTATAATACATCCTCGCTACATCCCTGGTAATTCCTATAAATCCGAACTACATTCCGGGTACATCCCTGGTAAATCCAAAGTAATTCCTATACATCACTAAGATTTTTAAAGATTTCCCTGTACATCCCCAGGAAATCCTCATAAATCCTTGTGTGTGTACACCATAAATCCTCATGTGTTCACCCTCGAGTAATAATTAGTAGAATTTTGATATTTTTTGAGCCACCCTGTATGCTGTTTAACTTGCAACCATTCTAAGTGCACCTAATATGATTATCAGACATGCATCAACTTTTGGCCTTGTTTGTATTTTGATTGTGCTATTACTAAAAAAAAATCCCATATGTTGCACACTTAAGTAATGGGTGGTATGAATAAAAACGAAGTACTTGCTACTACTACAAGTATTAGTATGTTCTGCGTAGTATTTACTTCAAAACGAAGTAGATACTACATTTTGGTCGTTTTGAAATGTAGTATCTACTTCGTTTTGAAGTAAATACTACGTAGAACATACTACATACTAATACTTCTAGCAGTAGCAAGTACTTCGTTTTTATTCATACCACCCAATGACACTGTATATGTCGGATTTTTTTATCTATATATTCGATTTTTTGTCTATATTTTGGATTTTTTTCCTATATATAGGATTTTTTTCCTATGTATCGGATTTTTTTTTCTATATTTCGAAATTTTTTCCGATATGTGGAAAAAAATAATAATTTAATAATAGTTTCATTGACACCAGGACGCTTTCGTAAAAATGCCAGGTGCGATAAAAAAAAAATTACTTAATTTTATGAAGAAAATAGTACCTATATTGTTGTATTAAGAGTAGAAGCACTTTTTTTGTGCTTCAGCAGTATTGCAAGTCTCACAAAAGTTGCTCTACTCCGTATATGCAACACCCTATTTTTTCTCCAAACCAATGGGGTAAGCTCGGGGGTAACTGAATGGTAGAGCGGCACTAAAAGTACTTTTGCTGCCGCTGGGGTTGCCAAGCAGCATAGAAATTAAACTTCTACCACCTCGACAGGTGTTAACCCGCTGGATTTGCCTAGCAGCATAGAAATTAAATTTCTGACATCTTAACAGGTGTTAACAAAGTGACGATTTTTTTGACGTTTAGAGAAAAAAATTTGTATTTAACATGTATGTTTCCGTTATAGTTTTTTAGATTCCTATGCTTAACATTAAAAAATAAACTCCTGTATTAATTCAAACCTGACCACTGTTTTGAATTTGTAATCAAGGGGCGTGTTTACTATAATTGGAAAAAAAAAATCTTTGTTCAAGCCTGGAAAAACTCAATAAAAGCAAACTTCTTTACTGACCTTTGATGGCAAAATTGTCAATAAATGGCACATAAGTTAAGAAATATTTATCCCAAAAAGGACAACATTAAATAAACAATTGCTCAATAATCGAATATTTTATTAATTAGCCAGGCTAGCCCAGTCTAGACAAAAAAAAAAGTAGGGCAACCTCGCCTCACACAAAATCTCGAAAGCTTGACGCTCCCTGACCAACGTCAATAGTCAAAATTTTGTCCAAAGACAATCCCACCCTCCTAAAACCCATCACCAAAAAAAAAAAAAAAAAAATCAAGTCTGACTTATTTTTATATTTTATTTTATTTTTTTTCCAAATCGCGTTGGTAAACACAAAAACGGTTATTAAAAAGGACGAAAACAAGTTGGTGCCACGAGGCAAAAGCCACAGTCGGTCGCCTCCACGTGCCGACTTCCACGAGCCGCAATTCTCTGGGACAGGTCACGGTAGTCCTGAGGAGGGACGCGGCGCGGCAGGAGGCGAGGTAATCCGAAACGTCGTTCGGCAACGATCGACGCCCGAGTTCGCGCTTCCCTCGTAAACATTTTTAGTTTAGATTTTGGCCATCGACGAGTGTGGTTGAAATTTAAAAAGTTCTCAGTCTCAAAAGTTAATAATAATTGAATAAACAATTAAATTATTATTATAAATAGTGTTTGCTTTGTATGTTCGGTAACTTTTCAGTTACGCGATTTTTTTGAGTCATCCCTTTAGGGACTAAATTGTAAGTATACTTTTTTTTTCTGATTTTTTTATATGTTATTTTTATTGGTTTTTACTTTTTTTTGTATATTTTGTTTCTTTTTTTGTTTTATAAATTGATTGCTCATTTTCATAGGCATTAATTACCAATCTGTCGTAATTAACCTAGGCCAACTATTTTTCTAATGCCAATTATTTGTTTAATATAAAATAGATATTATTTTCCAAGGTTAAAGAAAAGATATTTAAAAAAAAAAATCACAAAATAAGCACTCACAGAATCACAAACCAGTCAGAATGTATCTGATTGGTGCAAATCGCCTACAACCAGTAGTTTTCTGCTGGTTTACAATTTCTATGAGAACAGACCTAAAGTCCATCCATTTCGCCCTCGTTTTTTTTTTTTCTCGTGACTTTCTATAATAAGTTCGACTCTTTTTTTAAAGGTCGTAGAAAAAAAAAAAGTTTCTCTCGAATAAAGGGAACGGGCGAGAAACCGAGAAAAGAAAATGCCATAGAAAGGGGATATAATAATCCCATGCAAAATAAATTGCTTAAGCGCGTGCCAGCGTTGCCAAGTTTACGCGCTGGGAACAATCTAAAAGTCTATAGTTGAATCCGAATCATCATGACCTTTCTTGATTTTTTTTAATCAATGGATTGGTTCGAAGGGCCTGAGGGTCTTTTGATTTTTATACGGTCTCAAATTCAATTATTGTTTATTCACAATATCAAATTTTCCCAGTACACACTGTGACGTAGAGTTAAGAAGGAAATTTACGTAACTACTTTTATGCTTAATTATAATTTCTAAGTTTTTTTGAAGTCACATTAAGGTAAAATTCTAATGCATATTTATATACAGGGTGTCCCAGAGAAAACAATCCACCCCGATTTATTGAATTTGTGATGAGAATCAAAACTAGCTCGATTTTAAATATTTCCAATTTAAATTTTTGAGTTTCTAAAACTCCAAGAAACAGATGTAGATGAATTGATTCCAAGAAAATCTTTATTTTACTGAAATCTTCCTTGGCAAACTAATGGGGTTTAGAATTCTTAAGATTATTCAAGATTGCTAGTAATCCCCAGTAAACTAAAGAAAAATGAGTTTTCACAAGTTATTCTATGGTTGAACTTCTAGCAATTCAAATTCGAAATTTGACACAAAAACATAAGGAGGCGACTCATTCTTGATAAATAAGGCTCTTGTTGTTCTGATGTATATACTAATACGGAAATTTTGCATTCTGTATCAAAGACAAAAAACGTAAACTAAACAGCTAAATTCTAGGAAATATTACGCATTTTTATCGTCCTGACACAAATTTGAAACTATTTTTACAGTTAGTTGAGATGTTTCAAAAAAGCGTCTCATAGGAATATTCTCTTCCTCATATTTCTCTTATTGTTATAGCTAGGTTTTTGACCAACGTTGTTTTGACGTCGGTAAATTTCACCCAACATGACCTTACTTAACAATTCAAACATCACCCAATTTATATAGCAAACTTCTTCATGAATGAAATAAGGATAAATATTTAATAGAAAATTATTTTTAATTCCGTTATAACAGAAAAGGGGAAAGGAAAAACTCAAACTTGTCATTGATGAAAATGTTGGTATTGACAGATTTCCTAAAGAATGATTTTCTTCAGATCAATATCGATATGTCGGATTTCGACTTCAAACTGAGTCATATTTTGGTTGTAGAAAAATGTACTGGTTGGGGCAATTCCATGAATGTCCACTTGAAATTTATTTTGATAGTGTTATTTTAAGTACTTTGGCCCATTGATACGAATCGTCTAATTAATCGATTCCTCTTATTTTTCTTCAATTATTTCTTGTATTGTTGATTGCTGTTTTCTGTTCTTAACCAGAGGATTTGTACTTTACCAAAAATGACGTCCGATTGTTACTTGAGTAGTTCAAATGGTGGCCTTCAATTGTAACTTCATTGAGAAAATTATTGCAAAAATCGTCAGAATACGCAAAACGGCAACGTCGCGTCAAAGTCAGCCCGCGACCTACGTCTCGTATCGGGTTGTCGAGGTCGGCGCTCGGTGTAAAAAATCAGCCAAGGCGACCACGTGGAGGCGAACGACTGCGGCCGAAAGCTCGTGGCGTTTTACATTGGATTCGCCTATACCGAGAGGACGCGGGTAACGAAAGGCCCTAGTCCGTCGCCTCGGGCACTGGTGCAATAAGCGCGGCTCGTGTAACTTTGTTTACTCGATACGATGTCGTTTTTTTTTTTTTTCTGTTTTTAATGACTCTCGGGACCGTAAATAATTAAATGATAATTTTTTGGAAATAATAAGTTTACAACAATGACGAATAAATTTAAAAATACTTCGGTCGGGACAAGGACGGAGGGAATTCTTATATATTTTCGAAAAGATTGAAGAGTATCCAATTTGTACTCTGTCTGTACCAGTTTGTTATTATTTTTATGGAGTTGATTTTCGTTCAATTTATATGGTCTGTTCCAATAGGTTCGTTCCATGGAACTATACAGTGCAACCTCATTAATCCGAACATTGATTTCTATGTCATACATATTATATCTTGCATCACGATCTGTGTTCGGATTAGGGTAAGTTCCGGTTATCAAGGTTGCACTATATTTTCAAGCTGAAAACTATATCATTGCATTATTCATATTGGCAGCATTTTGTTGTTGAATGCGTTTTATCAATTTTTTTATCATTAGAATTCTGTTTATCAGAACTTGAAAATTTATGTTTCCTGATTGAATTTCTGACGATTAATGATATTAGAGCAAATTGAATGTACCTTTCCTATCTCTACATCGTTGGAAAGAGGTTTAAAGTTTCTTCTGAGTTTTTATCCAGTTGTTTAATTCAGAGAGCGTCACTTGTAAATAATTGAGAACATTTAAATGTAATTGAGAAAATCTCAGATGTACCTAATTAAGAAAACGTTAGGTAAATGTAATTCAGAATTCTAACCTGAAAATAAAAGAAAAGTGGGTAGAGTGGGGCAGGTTCGGACGGATTTGGTTAAGGTGATACCGAACTCTTATTTTAGCTTAACTGAATGTTCTAAAAATGCAAATATATCCCAAGTAGCACATATTATGGGATAAACATCCATTTTTAGTTGGGCCAATATTTATTCATTTTTGTTGCTAAATCAACACAGTACCAATATTGGGGCAACGTTAGTTTCAACTATGTGGAAACAATATTCAAAAATAATCTTGTACCAATATTGTTTTCATAGATTAATTTACTTTTCAGTAATTTGAATATTGGCCCAAGACTTCTCACTACAATATTGATTTATGAAATATTGGCCAAATATTACATTTTATATTATCGAAACAATATTGTAATATAATATTAATTCAATATTGGCGTTCAATTTTTTATTGATATTTAAATTCACTTCAAAAACTTTGTACACCCAATATTCATTTCCAATTTTTTCACAATATTGATACTTTTTGAACAGCCCAATGAAGGGCCAATATTTACATACTAATTTTTACCAAGGTTAGAATTTCTGAATTGAAAATGTTGGTCCAATATAGGGTATTCAATGTGCGCACTTGGTGTGCCGACCGAAAAATAGATGGAGACTCTGTCTTCACTTCACCTGTCTTAAACCTGGTTCCGGGATGAAGCCAAAAATTGGTTGTTTTCTCTCTGCGGGACCCTGGCGGGACTTAACCGTGCTGATGAATTGTGATACAGCGAAATGGGTCCATGGATGGTCCGGCAGAGGGAAAACACTTCTTAGTCGGTCCTTATAATTGGTCCGTTACCTTAATTAAATATAATATAAAGCCAAGATTTACATAAAGTTCGTTTCACCAGGGTTCATACTTGACCTTGAAACTTGAAAAAAAAGGGTTGTCCTAGATTATTTCATATGACACATTCATTTTTTTTGACAAATTAAAATGAATGACTTCTGGTTTAAGAACCGACGAACGTTTTTGACGTTATTGATTTGTTTCAGTCAATTTTTATATTTGTTAAACAAGGAAGGCCTGAACCCTGGTGAAACAAACTTTACGTTCTCGGGCCAATATTGGTAATTTCAATTGGCTCTATATTGCATAAATTTCTTGATATGATATTGAATATTTCTTTTTGGGCCAACATTTGGTTACGTTATTGTACCAACGTTGGTATTTGTTTTTGGGTATATATTGACATACGTTCTTGGACAAATATTGTAGAATGTCCACATCTTTTATTGAGCCAACATAGAGAATCTGACTTGGGTCAATAAATCGTAGTTATTGTCCCAATATTGGCCCAACATGGATGTGCTGCTTGGGATTGCTTCATATGTTTTTAATCCAACACCATAGCGATTTCAGAAAAAACTTGCACCGTTTTTCGTAAAAATAAAAATAAAAAAATGTTGTCATTTGTCCGAAGATACCCCACGGTGGGGCAGTTTTGGACACGCAAGGGGTAACACCGGACATATACTTTATAAACAATTAATTTTTTGACAGGTATAATTTAAATAATTTAGCATCTATCTAAACATTAAAACTTATAGTCTAAAGGAACTCCAAACATACAAACCTATGAATTTTGGCACTAGCCTACAAAAATAAATAATATAAAAATAACAAAAATAAATAATGACAAAAAACGTAAACTAAACCTTTTTTTATTATTAAAGTATAAAAGAATTTATTTTAAATTAAAAGAACTAAAATTTATGTCGAATTTTGAAAATTTTAGCTATGCGAGCATTCCCAGCATAAGAAGTTGATAGTCCGAATGTGCCCCACCCTGTACTGTCCGTATGTGCCCCACATGTACAAAATTTAAAAAAAAAACTGGAAATCGTGTTTTGTCGATTCTTGAAATATAGGTTATGTAGTGTGAAACTATCATACTTTGTACGTATACCCCTTTAAAACCTAAAAATTACATCATCAAATCGTCCAAAACCTTACGAGTAGAGGTCATAATACTTGGCTGGGATCTCTATTTATGTATTTCTGGTGATCACTTCCAAATTTCTCAA